AAAGTGACCTCATACATTGATCATATTTACGAAAAAAGTACTTTAATTTATAAAATGCACAAAAGTTTGCATCTGAAAAGCACTGTGAAAATGTAGTGTACCATGTTGTACAGCTAATGTGAAATACTGGATCGTAAACACAAAAACGTCGGTGGCACGGCGGTAAGGTGCTCGCCAACCACGCAGGTAGTCCTGGGTTCGACCCCCGGCCAATGCACTCCTTTACCTTGCTAAGCCAGTAGTAAGACTGGTAAAGAGGGAAGGTTGGGCATGAGGCTAGCAACCACATCCTGTAAAAATAATCTCCACTGCCATAGAAACTTCAAGCCTCTAGCTTGAAGCCCTATGTTCCACTGGGAACGTAAAGGAATATTAAAAAAAACACAAAAACGAAAATTGGAGAAGGAAAACTTCTAGCCACCAGTTCACTGGGCACGAAGAAGAAAATCCCTATCGGACCATCACGATCTGATATCAGTTAGAAATCCATTGGGAAACCAAGTAATACTGGAGAGCCTTTTCGTCCTAGTTCGGGACTCCTCATCAGCATGCACACCACGAGATTCAAAACCATAACTTACCGTCTTCAAGACGAGCTCGTAGACAGTTTAGCCAATGGGAACCGAACCAAAGACCCGTGAATTAGAAATTCCGCCAATTTACGCTAGTCACAACTTCTCACCAGAACTGCTAGTAACTTTCTGTATAGAACCGGTTGCTGGTGATCATCATAGTAATTTTCAAAACTAGGACAAAACAGCTGTCTAGCACTCCTTGATGGTTTCCCAATGGTTCTCTAACTTATGCTAGGTCACGAACAAACCTATAACAATCGAATCTCTACAGGAGCAGTGAGATTATCAGAACATAAGAATTTAGTTAAGGTTAGAATGATTGATCCCACGAAGATAAGTAATTGAGAAAAAAACTCAGCAATCGCACTGCATACATTAACACACAACCCTACAATAGGGTGGGTGGGACAGAGTTGAAATTCTAAAGAGTAACAAAGGTAGGTGGAGAGAGAGATTGACTACTGAATCCTGCCTGGTTCATCGAGTCTACACCCAACACATGTAACAGAAATGGCTCTATGCAAATACCAGAGATATGGAAGACATTATTACCAGTCAAATCAGAGGAGGATAATAAATAATCTTAAAATTCTATTTCAATTCACGTACATTATAACATTCTAACAAGTTTTACTTATTTTGACTACAAAAAACATCTTATTTTCCATCTGATTGTATTTGATTGATAACACTCATATTATTATTATTTCTGAATGTACATTATTTTATATTGATTTTATTTACATATCTAATCATCAATTTTTACTAATGTATATAAATGCAGCAAAACGTGTGTGTGAGTGACTTGATATGATTATGAGCAGCAATAATTTGTGCTCGAAACGTGGTAGCATCAGTAAATATTACTGTACAATACTGTGTGATTTATCAAAATAAAATCTTATGTATATTGGAGACCTACAAACCAACTCTAGAAAAGAAGTGCGTAATTGATTCCATTGCCTTAAGAATGGTTAACGTTTACCATGGTCAGTAAGTTGAATGACGGTTCGACTTTAGTTCAAGACGGAAACAACATATCAGCTGAAAATTGTTTGATCTAAGTCTTGAAATTGTTTGAAGTCTTCAAAAGGCCTAACGATTCCAAGGTTCCACTGAGAAACGCCGACCTCCTGACTTATTAGTTTCTAATATGCACAACAACTGAGCTGTCTTTTTTCAATAACAAAAACCGCTGCACGGAACTGAATGCATTGGACGTAATACTGAAATTAGCTGGGGAAAAAAATCAAAACAATTCTCCTAATTGTTCTTCGCTATAAACAAGTATCATCGAATAGATTCACATTACTTAATTCAGTTCACCTAATGACGTCTGCAAACAGATGTTGTATTTAAACATACGATCATGTGAAGCCGAAAGGGAAGCGGCGAGTTGGTCGTCAGTGCAAGGATGAGGGTGACTTGGAGGAGGTCATGTGAAGAAGAGATGAAAACGTGTCGGTCGACTTGGAGCCAGGTGAAGACTCTAGCAGAGAACCGAACGCAATGAAGACGCACGGCTGAAGCCCTACGTTCCTCTAGGAATTAAAGGAAATAATAATAATCATGTGAAGGAGAATCAACTGTGTATCTTCCCAATCTACAAAACAAAATATTAGCATTAAGAATGTTTGTAACAGATGAATTTTAACAATTTGTGTTTCATTGGTAAATTCTGTTTTCTAAGGCGTGGTGAACTAATCTTTACTAACAAATATCTTTGCATGCTTCACTGTTTAGCATCTGTCAGATATCCAGTCATAATGAAAACTTCGATGTTTAACGGTGGTCAGATTGTTAGTGTGATCACTAAAAAAATTAATTTTTAGGCCAAGTGAAAACACTCAAGATCACATTCTACCTGTATGTCACTATTGATTCATATCTAGTCATGAACCAACATGTTTAAGCTATATCGTAGAGTGTTAAGAGATAAGAACTATCAATATCTGGAAACCAAATCATCTGATCTAGACTGTTACGCTCATTACATTGAAACCTAACAGTTTTGCGCTCAGTTCACTCACTGCCAAAGAGTACTGATGAAAAGTCAAAATAAGCACGAAACACTTAATCTCTGCTCTCTGGATCTTGTTGGTACCATGTTTCTAGCCGCGAAGAAATCAATACAGATGAAAACGATAAGAGATGGTTAACGGGAACCTAATTACTAAGGAGAAGAAACAAATAAAACTGTGGGCTGATCACTTCAAAGGACTCTTGAATCGACCATCACCTGCAAATCATCCAGAAATACCACCACCAACACCGACAGCGCGCACAGAATTCCCTACCAGTGGACACCGATCCCCAAGCGAAAGCAGAAATTTGGAATGTAATCAAGCTACTGAAAGCCAGTTGGCAAGACAACAGGACCAGACGGAATTCGCCCACCCCGAAGCACTGAAAACGGTCACCGAGACTGCGGCAGATGTCCTCACGCTACCACTGCAAAATGTTTGTTAGGAAGGAAAGGTGCCTACTGATTGGAAGAAAGGCTGGATACCTTGTCAAACTGCCAAAGAAGGGCGACTTACGCCTCACTCTGCAAGAACTGGCGCCAAATCACACTCTTCTCCACGTCAAGCAAAATACTATGTCGCGTCATCCTAGAAAGAATAAAAGATGCACCCGATGCACAACTCCGCCCACCAAACCCAACAAGCTGAATTCAGAAAAGGCGAATTGTGTGCGGATCAAATCACTACTACACGCATCACCATCGAACACAGCCTAGAATAGAATGTCAGTCAAACCTCTATCTCCATTTCATCGATTTTCGAAAGGCCTTCGACAGAGAGCGTTGATTGAGAAGTAATTTAGAGACTACTTCAATACTATACTGACAAACTGATTGAAGAGGCAGGCAGTGAAGACAGGATTTTAGTTGGACATAGAGAAGGTGGAGATGGAGGTGATGAAGACGATCAACCAACCAACAACATCAGCAACAACAGCCAGCATCAATTACCATCAACGGGAGAGATTTGTCAGAAGTTACTTTCCTGACTTATTTAGGCAGAGTCGTTTCAGCTAAATGCAACACTGATCAGGATGTCAAAACCAGCCAGAATCAAAAAGGCAAGACAGACCTTCATCAGTCTGTAAGTAGTTTGGGAATCTGATGCACTCAAAATCAGCAACAAAACTCGTATTTTCAACACCAATATCAAGTCAATGAGTTCTATATGGGTCAGACTTCGCCAACGCATCACGAAAATCATTTCCAACAGGCCACTGCAAACCTCTAACGAAAGCTGTCTTCACTCTATGTTGAAAATCAGATCGCTGGCCAAAAAGAATTAGCAACAAGATCCCCTGGGAACGAACCAACGAAGAACCTGTTGAAATCCCTAAAACCTCAAAGTCTCGATACCATTCTATGGTACTTTATTTGTGATACCTTAAACGATAGAATACTGTTTATCGAACAATGTTTACTACAATGTAAGCTATTATTAGTTGGTATACTAAAATAACTATCGTACACTCAAAAAACTTATCAATAATTATTTTAGCTAACAAGTAACATGAAGCGTCGGTGGGATATCAGTTAAATACTCGCCAACCACGCAGGTGGTTCAGGGTTCGATCCCCGACCAACGCATTTTTTACCTCAGTAAGCCAGTAATCAGACTGGTAAAGAGAGAAGGTTGGGCATGAGGCTAGTAACCTCATCCTGTAAAAATAAATACCACTGCTATCGAAACTTGAGTTCTAGCTTGAAGCCCCTATGTTCCACTGGGAACGCGAACGAATAAACAGAAAAAAGAAGCAACATTTTCACCCTTGCGAACGAATCCTATACTAATTTCTCAGTGGATATAGTTTGGCTGAAATAACCCTAAACTGATTACAACCTAGACAGTACAAACATTACAGATTTTGTGACAAATTGATTTCGTCTAGAGAACCACCATTGAAAACCAGTAAATAGTACTGGACATCCGTTCCATCCATGTTTTTTTTCTGAACTATCAAGGTCTCACCAGAGATTAATCACATGACCTTCAGGTTTCAAGGTGAGCTCGTTAACCATACAGCCGCTGTAATCCAAAGGCTCATCAATTCTAACTTTTAACAATTTGCGATATATCGCCCAACTGATACGCAATGTTATTCGCGGGAGTTGTCTGTTCTCACGGCCAATTTCGTTAACCCCGCTGGTCACGATTGCACCCACCAGGCAATTTCAGACCTGTGGACACAGTCACTAATGAAAACTAGATTAATTTTGGCTGGTGCAGAAGAGTTTCAAACAAAGACGAAACAGCTGGCTAGTACTTCTTACGGGTTTTCAATGGTTCTCTAACTGAAGTCAGTTTGTCAGCGAACTTGAAATCGATCAAATTCACCACCTCTCCCTGTAAAACAAACACTTGAAGGTAAATAAATGACAAACAATGACAATAATGACAACATATCAGATGATCTTACTAACTGTATTTGTATATATTACATAAAGTAAATGATGAAAATATACTTTCTGCATCTTTAAATTAGAAACAAACATGTTAAATGGAACAGTGGTCAGTTGTACGTCACGTTGTATAAACTTTGGAAAGCCAAATTAAAATTGAAATTAACCGGGATTTATAATTTCAACACACAAAATGAGGTGGTAAATATTTACACAAATCAATGTGATGATGAGGAATAAGAAACGAGGAAGAGACACACAGAGAAAGAGAGAGAATGGGCAGAAGAGAAGGATTGAAAAACATGAGTATTTACAGTAGAGGTGAAATATAAACAGAAGGAACAGTGGAGCCAAAAATCACAACAATCAAAAGAGGCGTAAGGATGTCTATGACTGACTATGTATGTATATATATATAAGCATGTTTTTGTGAACGTATACACAGAAGATATGCCTACATCCACGATTGTATAAGTGGCACTATGCAAATGAGACAGTAACAGAATATCGCACCACAGTTGTGCTTTTTTTTTGGAAAAATTGAATGAGATAGATCACATTAAGTATAGACGATGGTTTATTATTTTGTTTTTGTTTGAATCAAAGGTAACTGGTGCTGAACGAACCAGCGGTGATAATAATTATTATTAATAATAATAATAATATACATAAACGTTGATAAAACAAATTTTTCCATTGGTTTTGTACGTGAGTGATACATAATCTTGGCGATAAACCGATGGTTGAATGAAAGAATGAATGGCATAAATGATAATAGTAATATTAGCATTTTATCGAGGTATACAACTGAGGTTAGTTCTCATTACTATAAACGTAAAGGCGAATCGTAATTATGCATAATAACATACTTATATATATATGTATATGGACGCATGAAAGTAGAATGAAATAAAGCAGATAGCGAAAAAAAATCCACTGCAGCTACAGACTTACAACAGCAACAACAACGATGTTAGCAAAAGCTAACAATGCGAAAGAGAAACAATGAAAAAGTGATCTGGCGGCGGTGGGGCGGGAGCGTAAATGAACAAGAAATAATAATGCCACTTTAATACACAGGTTATAACAGGACAGTAAATGGAAAGCAGAAAGAAGTAAGTATGAATACCTCCAAGGTGATAGATGAATGGATGGATAGATAGATGGATGGAAGACGATCATGAAACTGAGCAACACGCCAAACGAGCTCTATGCTTCCCAAAAATAAAAGGTGCCAACTGTTTATGGTTTGGTCCATTCGTTTTTTGCATCCAATGATTACACGGCTCACTTACCACTTCAGTATTATTCACATTATTATTACTGTTATCATTACTGTTGTTCCTGCTACTATTATTGACCTGTTGACCAATATTATTCGGCATTATACTGCAATAATTATCTGAAAGACAACTAGGCTGGATATTTTTAGTTGACTCTACACTTGAAGATAAATTTGAAGGATGTTTGAGGAGATTGCTTGAATGATTACTAGTCGATTTACACGATCCGTTTCCATGATTATGATTATTAAAATTTCCAATTCTTATTGGTGAATTCTGTTCAATTGAAAAAGATGATGAAAAATTCTCCATGTTACTTTCTAAAACCGGACTAACCGAAGGGATGACTTCTGTGTTGGCCACTGAACCACCACCACCAGTTAATAAATTACTCGGTAAACTCATTCGAGTAGAATGAATTGAATTTGTAACAAAAGAATCTGCACTACACGAAGCATTCATAGGATAGGTGACTGTATGCGAATTAGAATAAATACTTTGGTTTATAGATGAAGATGTTGATATAGATCCAGGAGAAAGAAGTGACAAGTTTCGATTATATGTAGATTGTTTTTGTGAATCATCTTTAAAATGACTGTTAATAGGGAAACTTTCAGATATAGCTGTCAGACTGCGTACTGATGTTGAAGTACTAGTTCGATCAGAATTGTATTCACCACTGTTAACTCCAACAATTGAATTAGTAAATCTACGATTATACTGACATTGTAATTCAAACGTCCCTCGTATTATATCAATCATATACCGTGAATCTCGTAGACTTGTTGCTAGAGAGCTGAGTGAAAAGTTAGATGTGGTACATTGTGAATTACTTCCATTTGGTACATTGTCACCAGAATGATTTTGCTGGGAACCTATGTTTGGTAATTGACTGATAGTTGATGTTGACTCTGATTCGGCCAAAGTGGCAAATGCAACACGCGCTATGTTTGAAGCTGTAAAAATAGCTGAATTTGTTTGCATACTTGAAGATTCAGACCTCCTTCGATTATTTAGGCTAACAAAAAAATCAGATACCTTGGAAATGGGAGATTCTCCACAGCGGGCTGCTTCATCATCCTCTTCACGTATCGGTGTGCAATGCTCCCGAATCGCAGATGAACCATTCAGTTGGCAATTGTTTTCACAAGATGATAGTGTTGTAATTCCATTGCCGTTAGATGCCACGTATGTTAAATACGGATGTTCGGATGTTTCGCACAATATCGGTGCAGAGCTACACCAACTGGCAGCTCTACGTGAATTACAAAGAGCACGATGAGGAGATATAGTCGAACCTCTTTTATTCACTCCTGAAACTGAGGATGTAGGGTAACGAAAATTAATTCTAGTAAGATCACTTGCCTCTTTAATGGTATCAGGAGATCGAATCCCACTGGATAAGTCCACTCCATCTAGAAAACCAGAAGAGTCTTCTACAGGAAAAGAGTTTTCAACGGCGGCAGGTAAGGCATTGGAATCATTGTGATCAAGAAATGAGGTGTCTGATCCACAGCGGCTGGGTAATGGAGCCGTAGAACCAAGATGATACATCCCCGAAACAGCTAGCAATAAACCGGGAGGTCCACTGCATCTTCGATCAGCAGTAATGCTTCTGTTAAGCAAATGAGAGCTTTGACCATGATTTAAGTAAAGAACTTTCCTTCGACTAACACCACTTGTTTGATTTTCAGCAGGAGAAGAGCTAAATGACGGACGACGCTGTTCACTTGCTAAACTCATGTTCAGAACGGCATTCCAACTGCCAATACTTGCTGGGCGGGATGATGATGCAGGAGTATTGAAAAATCTACGAGTCCATGCTGGACTATGAGCTCCAGAATACGTTTGCTGATTTCCAGCATTAGACAAACTTGCAGGTTTTAATCCAATCAACTGATCATCCACATATCTGATGCTACGATATAGATTACATGAACTACGTAAAGACCTAATTCCTGTTCCATCTTCAGCTGTTGAATATGCAGATGGATTTTGTGCACGACATTCATCTATTTTCTTTCTACGTTTATCCAGGTGAAGAGGTTCATTGATTTCAAAAGAATTACAACTATTCCAGTCTTCTTCAGCAATATGTTTTAAAAGTTGTGGACTGCTTTTTACAGTGGTTAGCGGACGATGAGATATAAATGCTCTCCGATATGGATGTTTTCTCCTGATATCAACGGGAGGTAAGGAACGCGTTGTAGATGTAACACGATTTATTGAATTGATGAAACCACCTGCACTCCAGGGGCTTAGAGATGCATCAGACTCTGCCCCATCAGATACCTCAGCACCAGAGCCGCTTGTTCTTGAACAAGAACGAGTCGGTGCCACGGAGCCATTAACGTTCGGTAGATATTCAGACTCGGATACACTCAGCAAATTGTTTGCCATCTGCTCAGTCAACAGTTCAGAACGTACACACACCAACCCTGCTACAGTAGCAAGTTCTTCCTCTTCTTCTTCTAACATTGCCTCTTCTGAAGTATCGGCAAGACAATGGGGTAAACCATCGGAATCTCCCAACCCATTAGTTGACTCATTTACACCACCAATACATTTACCGAACAATGAGGAGGCTACTGGTGATCCTTTGCCTTCTTCCTCTTCTTCTTCATCTTCTAAAATCATACTAAACCGCCTTACTCGATCCTCGACATTTGATGAACCCAAGGGACCTAAAATTCGCGATGATGTTCCAGCACCACCTGAACTTATCACATTGTTTAGTAAAGATTTAGTAGATGTAGTGTTCTCAACAATCTGAGGTTGTTTAGAGTTTTCTGAAAGTGTATATGGACAATTAATACATTTCTGTTGTTCTTGTTGTTTTCTTTTCTCTATCAATTGGGATTGATTCACTAATCGTTTATACTCTTCAATGTAGTTCCGTTTTAGTTTACGTTCTGCAAGTAAATAATATGTAGCAGCTATATGATTATATTCATTACGATCTAAAGTGGATTGTATTTCTTCAACAGTAGCTAGTTTACCTTCAGCCATTTTAGATAAAATCTCCATATGATCTTCAAATGATAGATGTTCACGTGATATTAAAGGGACAGAAAATAATTCAATAGGTAAATCCTCACCATCTATCTTCAACCAATCATCTTGTAGAATATCATCAAGATGAGCACGCTTCTGTGGATCCCGTATCAATAAACGTGAGATAAGTCGTTTGCAGTCTGGTGATAAATGTGCAGGCATAGAATAATCACAATCCATAATTTTTGTCAACGTCTCACTATCATTTGTTTCTTGAAATGGTAAATTTCCGCTTACAAGCATATACAATATTACACCCAATGACCAAATATCCACTTTAGGAGCATCATATGAATCACCAAGTAGAATTTCTGGAGCAGAATAAGCCAAAGAGCCGCAAGCTGTATCTAAATTTGTACCAGGAATGAATCTATTACTGAATCCAAAATCTGTTAGTTTCACTAAACCCAACTTCTCAAAGAAAACTACATTTTCTGGTTTCAGATCTCTATGAACCACTCTTAATTTATGACAATAGGCAATAGCAGTGACTATCTGACGAAAATACCGTTTTGCAACTTTTTCACTGAGACCATCACCATGACTTGTTATGTAATCGTATAGATCACCACCATCGCCCAATTCAAGAACAAGGTACAATTTCGTTGGAGTATCGATAACTTCATATAATCTGACTACATTGGGATGCTGAACTAATTTCATGCATACTACTTCTTGAAATAAATGATCTCTTGAAATGTTGTCCAACTTTGTTTTATCTATTACTTTTACTGCGACTTTTTCACCAGTGAATACATGACGTGCTTGTTTTACAACTGCATAATGTCCTCGGCCTATGGTATGTTGTAAATCGTATAAACCGGCGATTTTTGTATCAATGTCGGGGTTATAGAAGAAAGGTTTGTCACACATCGCCTATGAAAAAAGTGGGGAAATAAAATAATACACTGTAATTTATATAAGTAAAAAGTATATCAGTGGTATGAAAAACAATCTGCATCAGAAATTGTCATTTATGTACCACAAGAACAAGCTCTAATCATTATAAACGGAATAAATTTCAAAGAGGTCACTTCCCTCCACTTATCTCAACACCATTATTTCAACTAAAGACAACATGCATGAGGCTGTCAAGACCAGAATTGAGAAAGGCAAAGCAAACCTTCATCACTGTGAAATCAGCTTGGAAATATTCCCCACTCAGCATACACAACAAAATCCGGGTCTTTAGCATCAATGTTAAGTCAGCCAGTTCTTCTGTGTGGTTCAGAAAATTGGCCGGAGCATCACGAAAAGTATTTCCAACAAACTGCAGACTTTTGAAGGTTATATGGCCAGAAAGAATTAACAACAAGGAATTCCGTGAACTAACCAACCAAGAACATATTGCTCTACTGATATTCCGAAGGAAATTGAAATGGATTGGAAACATGCTAACGAGACTGTCGAAAGACATTGCGAAGCAGTGAACCCAAATGAGAAACCACGAGTTGGGAATTCGAGAGTGATATGAAAGAGATTGTGTGAGATGACAGCCTGTGGGGAATCGTGGGGACAACTAAAGAAGAAGGCAAAGAGTAAGACAAAGCGGAGATGCACTGTTGAAGCCTTGCGTTCCACTCAACCCAAAGAATAATAATAGCTGGTATACTTTTATCGACAAGATCTACACTACAACCATATTTCTTATACCAGAAGGCTAATTCCACTTCAATGAGTAACAGGTGGTTTCATCATGCAGTAAATTTATTATATAAGTGACAATATTGCAATTACAGTCAACTGCAGTGCCCAAGTTATATTCTTATATTCACAGACAGTTTGATTTGTCAACTATGTATCTTGTGCAACTAATTTCAATATATGTAACACTGACGACAATAAATAAATTAACAAAACGTTTTAAGGAACTCAGCAAAAATTCGAAAGCGTCGATGGCACAGCGGTTAGGACTCTAGCCGACCATGCACATGGTCCGGGGTTTGATCCCCAGCCGACGCACACCTGATATCAATTGGTCGGCCTGCTAAATTTGGGCTACCGATAACACATGCTGAAAATTCCACACTCGTACCAATAACACGGTATGGAGTCAAGCTATAATCAAAAAATAAAAATATTATGCAGACATATATTCATTATTTGACTACAGTTCACTCATTGGCATTTCAGGATATTTCACTGGAAATACAGTCAGATTAAGGCAGAAATTCGCACTAAAACAAACCATTCTCAGTTGCACGCTGTGAAACACTACGTAAAAGAGAATAGGTGTATACAAGCATGAGTGCCATAGAAGTAACAATAAATGAATGGATATAACTAAAAGATTTGAGAATCGTTCAGTTCACAAAGTACCAATAGACAAGTATACAAATGACCAATGAGTTAGGTGAAACATGGTTCAAAGATGAGTGAATAGCTTCAACACCGCTTAATTTTTAAATATATCAAGGAAGGTAATTAAAATTCGTACAACAATGTTTTCCCAACAATAAGAACCCTTAGTAATCTTCCCGACCGAGAGCTGCTACCTTGATGTGGTGGTCAGGCATGCGAATCACAATGACCCAATAAGCTACACTGGTTGGAATTAATATTCCTGCAGGTCTTATCATTAGACCATTAGACTAAAAGCAGTTACCCTCATAGTGTAGGGTGTTTAAACTATGCTGGGAGTTTGTGGGTAAAGTCGTACTGTAAGGGAAAAGGGGTGTAACAGCAGATGACCAGCATGCCAACTATGCTGCCTCTCCACTTTACAGATGGGTGAGGGTTAGGAACGGTCGACCCCAAAGTGTGTGCATGCTGACTTACCGTACGGTGGTCCATAGCTGGCGGTAAGTTACTAATATGAAGACAACTCTTAAAACCAGTTCAAACAGGTCATGTGTGACCGACCTCAAGTAGTTTCCCCCTGGTCTTTGCGGTCACACAGCACTTTTTCTACTTCAGGTACCCCAAGGAAAGAACAACTTCCACGGTGTGGGCGGCCGGGAAGTAATAACCGCCTACACACTTCCAAGACTATACGCTCTCCTAATCACCACCCACCTTTATCGTCTACCAGTTATCTTGCTTTTAAATTGTTACAATAATTTACAGATTCCCTCACATGCAGCACCGACCCTTCACTTGACGTGCTTCGTTTGTAGGGATGTGAAATCCCACACATATAAAGTGTCATTAATATTCGCACTAAAATAAAGTAAGCAAACACATTCATCCAAAACTCTGCGTACACAGATGCCTTATGAGCAAGAATGCAGTAAAACACATTTAAAGTGAAACCTATAAATGATGTGAAATACAGAAGTGTTTTACGAGTTGATCACGGACTGATATCAGTTAGAGAACCATTGAAAACCAGGGAGTACTGGACAGCTGCTGTTTCATCCTAGTTTGGGAATCACCGGCAGTACGCACCCACTGGGATTCGAACCCAGGACCTTCCGGTTACAAGGCAAGCTCGTATACCATTCAGCCACTGGGACCCGATTCAATGGCTAGTCCATGAATTCTAACTTCTACCAATTCGTGATTTTAGCGCGACCCCAACTATTGTCGTTGGTGGAAATCCATCCACACGTGACTTCTAATTGGACCTCACTGGTCACGACTTCTCACTAGAACTGCAGGAAGCTCCAACCTGTAGCAAGTCCGTGATCAACTCGTAAAACATAACTAATCCTTACAAATCAAACTACAGAAGTGTTTGTTAGTCAATTCTGGTCAGAGTACCACCGTACATGAAGAATATTCCCAAACTGAACTTCAGCCAACACTGACTGACGGACAGCTCAGCCAAATGAAAATTAATGAAATGGAGAAAAACCACTACCATCCTTAAAAGCTGGACAATCTCACTTTTACAAATAAGTTTGTACAGTTACAATTGTTATTTAACTCAACAAGTCAACGAAGGTAGATTAAAGGGGATAAAAACTTTTCAAACTGATATGAAAGTTTAAAGATGTGATAAAAAACGAATATAAATCGTAAGAGGTAGAGAAACAGGATCAGAGAAATAGTTGCGCAACACGTAAATTAGTTTTTAACGAAGACAGGTGTGAACAAAATGTGCGTAAGAACAAACTGAAACAATAATTTTTAGTGTAAATAACAAAGTCAGCAGATATCTACCGAAAGCAGCATGTTTTCCATATCGCTGTATTACAGAAGCTATCGCCATATGCATCAAAAGAAACTAGTTCACCTTCTACATTTACAATGAATTCAGTTGTGTATGGTTCCTTAGTTGGCGTTTTTTCATTCCTTTCACTTTTTCACCTTAATTTATTAAAATCGCTTATTTCAGTCTTTCTAAGCACATCCTTTTCACACCTGTCTTCTTTAAAAACTATTATACATGTTACGCAACTACTTTTTTAATCTGATATTAATTTGTTCTTGCACCCTTTGTGACCTATATTCACCCTTTACCACACCTTCAACCTTTCATATCAATTTGAAAATTATTATCCGCTTTTGAAGATGAAATTTTCGAAAGGATATCTTTGCTAAGCTTCTTGTTTTTGTCTCTCTAATGTCCTGATGAGTGTTCTCAACGACTTTAATAATCAATTTCAAAAAGAGATGTTCATTAATCAAAAAGTCAAATTATTATCAATAAGTAACTTTTTAGCATGCTTATCAAACCTTTATTCAAATGACTTAAGAATCCAAACAACTACACAGGCATAAGAAACGGAATCGTTATAATTGTACGTCTGGAAAGCTGTTATATCAGATTGTACGTCGCACATAATGTTAACAACGGTAAGGAAGAAAAAGTAACAACGCCGGTAGTAGAATAATTCCGCATTTCCAGCAATGATACTATGGTCGCTGCACTAAATATATCAGATGTTCACTTGGTTCGTTGATCAGTCTTTGTCTCCATCCAACTAAATTTGCTTCTAATAGTGCGTTATATCCCACCCCATCGCATGATTACATATTACGATATGCACACAGTCAAGATTTTCTCAATATAACCTATCTTAGTGGGGCTAAAATTTCGTAAATAAAACTGATAGGTGACAAAGGAGAATTACTGAGCTAATGGTGTGGCCCATTGGCTTAGGCACTTGGTTTCATTCGATGGATCAAGGGTTGGAGTTTCGCTTTACCTACTTCAGCCATGGCAACTAAGTAGTATCACCAACCCTCACGTGATAAGTTCAGCCCTAAACCTGGCACATGAAAAGTATGTTGTGGGTAATTTAGTTCGAACAACTAAACTGATGCAACGTAACCAAAGTGTGTAATAAATACGAACATAATAGTACAAACTGTTAATTGAGACGTCTGAACATTAAAATCTACATGTTTTATTCTTTACGTAATTCTGTCACTGGGAATCTCAACATCGAGAAATTTACACTTATCAGCTTATTGTAAATGAAACCAAAGGTAAACTGAGTAGTAATTTTCAATTTACACTTTATTGGTCATTAAACATCAGGATAACTAAATACACATTTTGAGGCATATATTTTTGACAAACATGATCAATATTCTCCTTACTATTACTCATCGACATTAAAATTTATCAAAACCGGATTCATCAGGTCTACAAAAGTATCTACCGCACCTAATTAAACGTAAATTTTGCAATTCAAAATATGGCGTCTTTTTACACGCTAATGTACGCTGGGTGGCGAAATTAGTGGATACTCAAAATCACAGTTTACAAACATGGATTAGGATAGATATATTCCTGGAGCAATATCTTATGTGAATTACATTAACAAACAATGCACTTTAAAATATATATCCACAATAATTATAACACTGAATTATTTGAATGGAGAAAGGCTGAAATTAAGACCTGAATATATATGAGAACCGGACTGCCGCCAGTTTGTCTGGTTATATTCCTTTGTTAATCATACAAATAATATGTACATACATTAGAAATCAAGCAAGTTGAGTTGCAAGTCTGATCGCAAATGATGATGAAACAACGATAATGATAACAAGTGAATAGATGATTCAATGGTAGAATGGTAACGCGACACTAGGGAAGTACGGGTTCGGGCTGGTCCAGTTTGCCAACCGACACTAAACGTGATAAAGAGGGAAAGTTGGGCATAAGGCTATCAACCCCACCCCCTTAAAACAACACTAAAACTGTAATCCCTGGTCTTTTGTTCCACTCGAAGGACAAAACAAATGAAAAAATTAAGTAATTCACTTCATTGTCACATGGTATTCATGTCTCTTATATTTCTCCAAATCAACAGATGCAAAAAATTTTCGTGTATGTGGCGGACATCACGAATATTTGAGCAACCATATGGTTAATTTGGTATGAAGCTAATGCGGGTGAATGGTACACATCAGGGATGTGGCTAAAAGTGATCCACTTAGATTGCAGGTAAAACAGAAATGCAGCTCAGGTGAGTGCTTGGAATTGCACCTTTAAAACTAGCATTAATTCTAACGTTATTAGCTACATTGCCTTGGCGGTCCTACAGAAGTAAAAGAGCAGAGTGACAGAGAAGAGAAAGACTTAGTGGAATCCTATCTGATATTAACAAAGCTGGTTGAAAAGAAAATCTCGTATCGTAGCAAATAAAAAGGTAAGCAGTTTAATTCCACTGAGCATTCATTCACCAAATTTCTTATCTTCTAATCAGCTAATAAATAATTATGTCAAGAATTTATATGATGATAATGCAAAAAATGTGATCTTACACAAACCATTAAAGGGTATCACATTTGCATCTCTTCTAAAGTTAAACGACTACTCCAGATCTGATTTCAATCGACACCACACCTGACACTGGGATGGGAAGTGAGTGAGCACATTAACCATTTCATGTCCAGTGGCAGTCCCGTCGGTTTCGATGAATTAGTGGGAGGGAAATTGTCTCAGAACGTATACAAAGAATTGTCTATGAAGCGTTGACGTTACTCCTTCTCACTTAACTCCTGGGTCGCATGAACGAACACAATGACGATTACAGGAAATCAACTTCCTAGTGTTTCCTACATCACTGGCAATACAGTCCGTCAAAAACAGAATGAACTTAACCTAGTCAGAAAATAAATATATATAGGTTATATGCAGAGAAAGTGGGTGGCTTTAGACGAACTGGACGTATACAGAAAAGTTGTTGAAATTCAGTAATTTAAACGCTCCATATTTTCCAATTTGCTATTCAACTTAGCTCATCTCTCAGAAAAATATTTACTTAATTTTCTTCATTTTCTCCAAGGAGACAATTTCGAAGACTACCCACGTCGTCCACTTTATATAAGTTCAAGAAGAAAAATTGTCCAGATAGGAGCTTATACCTCAGGCGAGCATGTAAAATCTCTCAATCAAAAATACATGAGGACATTTCAGCAAAAAATAAACAAATAAGGCCTTAAACGAGAAAACACTTACCAATTTGAGATTCTAAACCAAAGAACAGACAGTATTGTTGTTCCTCTGAAGAAATATATGTTTAGAACGTGCATTCCGACAACCCTTAGCGCGTAACAGATGATGCTCTGAAAGCGCGCCCCGAGTACGCACTCGAAGGACCCGCCTTTCTTACTGCGAGTCGCTCATTTAAAATTAGGTCAGCTTAAGAAATAGAATCTAGTTCTGGTATATACGAGTCACTGATTTGGATTGTAAATGATTTCGAACTTTAAGCAATTAATATAGATTTGTTTTATCATAGATTTTCGGACAGAAAGTTTAAGAAGACAAATGATACTGAAGTCCATTTTATTCTTAATGTTTATATGCACCATTTGATTAAATAGTGGCTGAATAACAATTTATCAGTAATGTCTTTGCGTAGTTCACTGTTCTTCATGAATTTCACATCAACACAAGTTTCTATTAAAATTCCGAATCATCTAATTTAGCAAGGACGAAAAGTACTCTGTGAATGGAACGTTAGAGCATCAAAAAAAGTCGCAGTGAGCTGTTAAAATACCTGAAGTCTGCAAAACACCTTCATTCAGATGGATGATTTTGTAATTAACGGAGGAATACGACCGATATCTGATGCCAGCAACAACAGTCATATGATATCATCACGAAAATGCATCATTTAATAACCATGGGAAAACTGTTACATCCTGGAGTCGGACTCCTCAGAAGCAGGAACCTTCAGGTTACTAATCCTAACTGCTTGATTATTTATCCACTTAAGCTGAATCTCAATCACATGTGGAACCTTACCTTGCACATAATGGATAAATTACCCTCAAAGGGGAAAGCACTTATTCTCCTTCTAAAGACCAGCTAGTCCATATGAAGGACAAAGATCATCTATATTCTTGCACAGAATAAAATGTGGGGACAATTTTATCGAGTAATCCTGAAAATATAACCGTTTCCATTTCGTGATATGAGTGTCTAAAAGTAAGTGAATCTAGTGTTACTCCATTGAGCTCGTCCCGATTTCACTCACTGTATCAAATAGACATTATACGGACGATGGTATACACCATGTGGTTTAGAAGCTTATAAGATTGTACAAGGTTTGGTTCAGTCGTCTTAAGCATGGTGATTTAGGTCCTAGGATTTCATATCTGGTGGAGTAGTTTGTGCCGTTTTCGGCTCCGGATACTTTTCACGTGAAGTACCTCTGTACTCCCTCTACCTTTACTTCATCTTCTATGTGTATTGAACTACATTTGAATGAGCTATAATGCAGGAGTGGGCAAACGCAAATCTTGTACAGTAGTATTCTGGATTCGCTTCCGTAGAAGTTCCTGAGTCAAAAGCCACTAAGCACGTGTGATTTGGACACTTGTTTCGAGATATACTCTAAAGATGATAGATCATGCGGATATTCCAGCCCTAGGTCTAGTACACACTTGAATAACCAAGTGATGTCTTAGGCTGGAACAACCGTTACAGAGCCAGCCGCACAATTCGATATTAAACTCGAGTCGCCACGTGCCACAAAATCTATCCTTTTTTATCAGTTCTTCATGTATATAGTTCAAAGTTGTACCAATATCTGTATTTGTGCATGAATAGGTCACCTTCAAGTCATCTGCATACAGTATTGGTTCGCCTATACTAAAGCATTCACATATACTGTTTATGTGTGTCATGAAAAGAAAAAGGCCCAATACACTCCTATGGATGGCACCACTGCTAATCGGCCTAGGCCTGGAGGTCATCGAGCCAATCTTTGTTGTCTGATTTCTGTCACTGAGAAATGATTTTATCCAGTTGTGGAGGGGGTTGCGTATCCTTTGTAAGCACAGCCTGCTGACTAGCAGACTACGTGGAACTCTATCAAAGGCTTTCCTTATGTCAAAAAGAGGATAATAACTAACTCTCTCCTATCTCTTCTGTAGGTGACTTCGTTGAAAAAGCCCATGTGGCAAGTGGCATATAATCTTTTCTTGAGGAATCCGTGTTGTGACTGGTTGATGAGTTTATGTATTAGAAAATAGTCTGACATTTGGTCTTTGATTACTTTCTCCATGATCCGTGATATGAGAGGTGTTATACTGATATGCCTATAATTGCATGCACTAGTTTTGCCCTTTCTTTATGCTTAGATAATATATACGTGTTTTTCCAAATTTCAGGGTAGGTCCCAGTCACTAGTGAGATAGTAAAAATTCTAAGTAATCATGCCGTTTTGTATATGACATTAAAAGCTAACGGTAGTTGCGGGATGGATGATATACCATCTGTCATATACAAAGACAGATGTTATATCATCCATCCCGCAACTACCGTTAGCTTTTAATGTCTTTACCGCTGATGCTATAATTTGTATATTAAAGTTGATTTCACCTAACTTGTAGTTATTTTCGCAGGTTATGTGGAGAATTGGGAATGGGTGCGCTTTGGTGTCATTGAATAACTACTGGCTGAGGAATCCATCGATAATCTGGAGATCATCATAAACTACACCTTCATGTGCCAAGAGGCTCACGTCATTGTCCTTACCCTTTTTAGTCATTTCTGTAAGATCTTACAGAGTTCCTGAGTTTTGGAGCTGCCACCTAAGGTTGTGCCATTATTTCATGTCTCTCCTCAAGATTTTTAGAAGTTTCTTTTATCTAGTGTAATGCACCAAATTTCTTCAACTTGATATGATTATGAGCAATAGTTTATGCTCGAAACGTCATCAGTTGATATTACTATACAACACTGTGTGATTTATCAAAATAAAATCTTATCCATCATGGAGTTAAATAAAATTCACTTTCCAGTTGCCTTAGTTCTAGCCGCGTTTTGCGGTCTATGAATAGAGTTGGTGTCTTTAGGGCGGATTTTAGGGGAGCGATTGTGTCTCCTACCGAAATGATTGTCATGTAGAAGACATTAGGTGTTACTTCTAAGTTATTTTCGGTAAAGTATTCACCTCAGTCAGAGCTTCTCATTAGCGCTGGTAGAAATTCCCAGTCAACATACGATAACGTAATCAGCAACATATTTAATGTCGCATCCAATCTTCCCTTCAGTTATAATATAATTGGAGGTGACTTCAGTTTGCCTGATATATCATGGAGTACACTTCGAGGACCCTCGAGGTATGATAATCTTCTTAATTCCATCATTACAGGAGGATGGACGCAACATATAAATGTACCAACTAGGTCTGATAATGTTCTTGATCTTATATTCACGATCAACGTAGTACCATCTACGATACATGTGGGACATGAATTCCCAGGTAGCGATCATAAAGTAGTGGCATGTTCGTTTAACATTTCTCCAGAAACTATACACAGAAACGAAGTTAGTCGGACACCTATAAGACTATACACACATGTTTATTGGGACCTGTATCAGGACTTGATTAGATACTGTAATTGGGATTCCTACTTTAATAATGACTCCTTAGAGTAAGTTCTTAAAAATTTCTATGACAATATACAGTCTGTTAATGATGTCATAGCGCCTGCGAAATTGATTAAATTCAAAACCCCTCAAGCCGATTTCATTCCTATATCATTAGGAAGAAGTTTGCGGAAGCATTCATTAAGTTACTACAGACATGACGACTTATCATCGTTAATCACTATCAAAACAATCCTCATTAGAATCTATGATTTGAAAAGTCTAAGTCTTAGGAATGAAGAAATGCGGGCCATTCAGTCGCCACATAACACTGGAGAAATAGCCAAACTCTTCAAAAATAGGTTATCAAACTCCAAATCAACATATCCAAAAATAACTCACCCAGGCGGTATCACTCCCGAAAGTGCTGAGGATATATGTGAGCTGTTTAGCACGCGCTTCGCCAAACTATACACTCTAGAAAATGACCAGGATATTGATTTCCCTCGTTACACAGAAAAGTGTTTAAGTGATGTATTCTTAAACGCCCAAGAAATCGATAGAGCTATAGCAAATCTCAAGATTACTAATAATACCGGACCATATGGAATGTCCTCCGTCCTCTTAAAAAATGGAGGAAATGACATGAAACTAACTATCCTCAAGATATTTTCAACTTAGCTGAGGGGTGGAACATATCCAATTAGCTGGAAAAAAACTTACGTTGTACCCATTCACAAAACCGGAACTAAAGCGGACATAGATAACTACCGTCACATCAACATTACCTCCGTGGTTTCACGTGCGATGGAAAAGTTTGTAAAGAAGCAAATTCTTCAGTATTTGCTTTCGAATGACCTTATATCCCCTTTCCAATACGGTTTCTTAACTAGAAGGTCGTGCATCACTTGCCAGTTAGATTATTTCGGCCACATAACTGAATGTGTAGACAAAGGTCGTTCGGCAGCAACACTATTTCTAGATGTTAGGAAAGCTTTTGATAAGGTCCCACGTAAGAGACTCATATTGAAACTCCTATCTTATGGAATTAGTGGAAGGCTACTCGAGTGGATAACTTCCTTTCTAACAGGAAGAGAACAGTTAATTAAAATCAACCATCACTTATCTACATCTAAACCAATAACCAGTGGCGTGATACAAGGTAGCGTTCTTGGTCCTATCCTATTCATTGTATTCATGAAAGATATTGTCTCTGTGATCAAGTATGGCAAGCCGTACCTCTTTGCAGATGACCTCAAAGTTGTATTTCATTTCGACTATAATGATGTGAATATTGCTAGTAAAATCCAACAAGACCTAAATAGTCTATGTAACTGGAGTGAAAAGTGGCAGTTAACGTTCAATCCAGCTAAGTCTGGGTTAACATACTTCGGACGTTGGAAACCTAGCATAAGTCTATACATGTACGGTGACCTTGTTTCAAACACGAACACCGTCACAGATCTCAGTGTAACATACTCAGATCTTACCTTTACTGAACATGCAAATAAGATGGTATCTGATTGTAAACGTCTAACCGGCTTTGTGCTACGCAACTTTTACACCCCAGAAGCCAGATTAGCCATATATAAGATATGCATTCGCCCCAAACTTGAATACTGTGCCCACTTATACAGCAGCTTTAAATCAGTAGACAGAAAAAAAGTTCAAAGTGTCCAAAGATTCCTGACGAAACGCATATTAGGTTATGATCAGCAAATAGAATACCTTGACAGATGTATTCGACTGGACTTAGAACCCTTATGGTTAAGGAGAGTGAAGTGCAACTTACTTCTCTTATTCGAAGTT